GAAGAAAATGTTTAAACACAAGGGATTTAAACACAAATGGCATAAACCAAAGTTCGGCAAATGGAAACACAAGGGCTGGAGTTCGGGTAGCAGTTCTGAAGAGGAATAATATGCTAATCATATTTGATGGGATAAATATTGATTGGTTTCAAAGTGCAATTCATTAAATTAATCATAACTTAATATTTAGTTTTCGCTATAATAGAGAGTTATTTAAATAATTTATACAATAATTTGCTCTCTCACTGAGTGTCTGATAAATTTGTTGGAGTTTTATAACGGTATTGAAACTGATTACCGGTATATGGAAAAACTGAATCTTAATTAATATACAATTTTGTTAATTTATAAGAAATCTATTATCATTTATATATTCGCTACAATTTTATTTTATAAGATTTGGTGATTTTTAACATTTATATTAACAAATCGTTTGCTTAAATATAAGCAATTAAAAAGACTTCTGTCATAAAGTATTTGCATATTTAAGTATTGAATAATTAATAAAAGCACATTTTACTGCAATTTGTTTGGAATTATTAATTATTTAACAGTAATTTGTAAATTAAAGTGAAATAAATATTTTATACTTTTAAATTCAATTTGATATTAATCTCAATTGAGTATGGACATTGAGGTTTATAAAATCACCTGTCCCTCCAATGGGAAAATGCTTTTTCTACTCGTAATGTTAAGTCAACGGGAAATTAATGTTTCGATTTGCAAGTAAAGAGTTTGTTTAATCAATTAAAATGGTTTTATATTGAATCTGACTTTCAAATGATTATAAAAATATGAACACAAAATCTTACTTCTATACATTGGATTCAATACACATTAAATGTGTGCATAATTTTCTATCAGATTTATGTCAAATCAATTAAATGGTTTGTCATTCGACTCGAATTTTTATCGAAAATACTGTTTTTGTTGTTTTTTAATCAAAATTTTTAATTCAAATATTGATTGATTAGAGTTTTCAGTACTCATAAAAAATTTTAATAACAAAATTAAAGTTTTATCAAATTTTTACATAATAAAAATATTTACAAAAAATAAAATAACATTTTGTGGCACTTTTTTTGCTTATCTTAATTCATATTGAAAAATTCAATTTAAAAAATGATTGCTTTAATTGATATTACAATCCCAATAGTAAGGCGCTCTCACAATAAGGCGCTCCCTATTTATTATTGGATGATATTGTGGGTGTGTATGAATGCTTTTGTATGGGTTCAGTCAATAAGGGGGCAGAAAGAGGGAGAGTGAGAGCGCCTTATTGTGAGAGCGGCTTACTATTGGGATTGTTAATATGAAACCAAATATTGTGTTTTCGATGAAAACGCTTAGATCTGTATTCCCCATGAGATGAGAGCCAGAAATTAATTTTGTTTTCAGTTTTGCACGAAATGACTAAAAGAGTAGCGGGTTTTCAGACGCCTTTCATTAACAATCATGTGGTCAACTGATGTTCGGCCCAAAGGCGGTCAATAAAGTCTGCGGTTGTGTTTCGATACTCGCGGTAATCATTGGTTTGGGTTTGATTGTTATGCAATTGTTCCCAAATGTAATGGTTTTGTAAGTTTGGGTACTCTATGTGCCAACTCGTGGGCCTATTGTTTAGAGTGACTTTAGGCAGCGGTAGGTCTGACTCTATGTTTCGTGAATTGATAGTCGAGAGGTGTTTATAGGGAATATCGGCACAAATGTCAGAACTGCAAGAATATCGGCGGATATCTCGAGCAGTACTGATGTGCCGCTGACGAGAGCCGGGAACTGTCTTCGGTAACATCATTAACGATCTGTCATTAAATAAGGCCGTAATGAGTGGTAGATTCAGGTCTCGACTCTTTTGTCTGAGTTGTTGCAGATCAGAGACCGAACCGTTTTGGTCGCTGTTATAGTTGTTTGCGGCGAGTCTTCCGTTTGTCATTATTGAGTTCTGAAATACATTGAAAAAATAAATAATTAAAATTTATTAATAGTTATTGGCATTAAGAGAGACTACTGACCCCTTTCTGACTAGCGTTGGTTAACTGTGAAAAATTAGCCGTTTTAATGACTCGACTTTCATTATAAGAGTTGGCGTATTGGGGCGGCGGTGGAGGTACTAGTATTGACTGTAGTCTCGATTCCGAGTTAACACTCAAATCACTGGCGAATAGCCTTAACGGATGGCTTGAAGTCATTGTGATGTTATTGAGTGACTGATGAAAGGATGGTTGGATTAGCGGTTCCGTACAATCGGATAAACTCTTAGGAGTGGAAACCGTTACGCAAGCGGCAGATGAGGGCTGTATTGATGGGACGCTGTAATGTGCGCTCGAGTCGGAGTACGCGCGACCCTCTTTGTATGTCCTCTTTATAATCGAAGGATTAGCTCCGTTACACATATTTGAGTCCAAATTATTGGACAATTTATTGATGGAGTTATTGAGTGCATTGGGACTGAGCTGACAGTTATTGACTTGCAAATTGGTTGGAGGCAAATAGGATGCGGTCGACCAGAGTTTGGATGTGGAGAGATTGGGTTCCGATGCGGCGATACATTGATTTTTGGACGAATTTTGGTCGTTATTATATGTGAAGACAGAGAGTGTGGGCTTAACGTGCGAACGGGTTAGGGATGAGATGCCTATTCTTGTTGCGGTTCTTTGAGTGGAATTAGTGTTTGTGGTCGGAGTTAATGTGGAGCTCAATGAGGGACAGGCTTTCAAAGGGAGCTTTGGTTTGGTTTCAAAATTTTGAAAATGAGAAAAATATGGGATATTTTCGTAGATATGATTCATTGATTCGGATCTTTCGGTCAATTTGGAGAGATTGACGGAACGCACTGATAGGTCCAGTTTGGGTTCAACTTTGGCACCACTTGTTATGTTTGCCGATTGAATGGCCTCANTCGCCACTACTTTCCACTCAAATCCACACCAATTAGTGGTTAAACTGCACTCAAATCGATCCCAATATGAATTGGCTGTGAGTTTGCGGCAAAAAGTGGTCATAAATGGTGTGACAATTGATGTGTACTTATAATGGGATTCAATTGTATGTCATTTGAAATGTTGGACACAATTCACAGCCAATAGATGTCACGCTTTTTGTGATGCAATCCAATCGTCAATCCATTCGTTGGCCTCAATGTTGACATCACTGCGCACTCAATGCACACACTATAAGCCCCGCCCATCACTACAACACACACTCCCTATACGTTCACACCATTCAAGCCTTTAATCATACGTTTGTTTAGTAATTATCTCACAATTAATTGTTTTATTAATGAATGACTAAATTGTATTCAACTCTGAGTTTTTGTTTCCAACACTTTATATCTGTTTTCCCCGAACTTTGCATTCAATGGTTTTGAGTGTATTTTTGGGTCCATTTGTTTGTCATATAATATGACAACAAATAATGTGCGCAATGTTTGCCCCCTTTTGGCCCTATGTTTGCCTTGTATTGCATTATTGCGTGCATTTGTGGCAATACTTTTGAGACATATTTTGTGATTGAATTGCAATACAAGAAAATATAAGGAAATGTTTTGACATTAAAAGTAAAGTTATTTTTATGACATTTTTAATTGCATTTTGTTATCATTTCATAGTATTTATGACAATATCTAATAAGATATGACTTATAATCCGGTAATCAATTGAAGTGTACTTTCATTTTGAGCGCATTTTTTCATTTCTTTATAACTTTGATTGACTGTCACTTTAGTTGATCCCATACTGCGATCGCATTAGTCATCCGTTAGGGACGGGAACACTGATCCGCATCGCCGGCACTCCGAGTCCGTCGTGTCGTTGGTTCGCGCGAAGACTTGTTGTCACCATTTGATTGATTAACCTCTTTGTTGTTGTCATTAGTTTCGCCATTAACTTGCAATGCGGGCCATCCGTTAACCCGCGCGACGACATCGCCCTCCACTTGAGCCCTGTCTTCACTCCA